AGGTCATTTACTGCATCCCATAGTGGTTGGAGCTTTGCAGCTCCACCAGATGTGTGTCATATGGCCCTCAGTTTCCCCTTACCTTCAGCAAAAATTTGGTACATTGTGATAGATTTTGTGGAGTCTACTGGGTGTTAAGTACCAGCGATAGACTAGTTTCCTATGCGCCTCTACGTGTGAGTAACACTGGGTATGTCCCTTCAGAGCATTGAGAGAGCTAATCCACTCTGCCTCAGACCAGGTAAGCCACCCAGTTTCTGTTGCCCAATGGGCCATAAAGGTAGGTGTCGGATGTGGAATTCTCTGCATAATGGTTTTGTAACATAATGAAAGAGCTTTAGGCTTAGTAGGCATTTTGCAACACCTATCATATATCTCCTGTGCCTCGATGGGGCCGAGGTGAGATAGGTCTGCTGATGTTGTGTTGTGTCATTGTATCAATAGAAGAGATACCATGTTTGTCCCAATTCTGAAAGGTGAGCCATGGGCTGACTGTGCTCAGGGACGTGAGAGGGGCATACGAATGGAATTGAAGATGTGTGTTATGTTGTTTCTGGAAGAGGTCGCAATAGTTTATTGCTAATTTTGTGGTGGGGAACAGATGTGGTACATTGGGGCGTAGTGATTTGGGGTCCACAGGAGATCTCTAATTGTCTCCCTAGAATAGTTTTTGTTCTCCATGTCTACCTTTTGGAGTACATTGCCAGGGGCATGTAATTTCATTGCTGCCTCCATGTGGGTGGCTTTGTAATATATTAAAATATTAGGTAATCCTATTCCTCCTTTTGAAATGTGTCTGTGCAAAAGGGTTGCGGGGATTCTCGGCTTGCGTGATGCCCACAAAAAGGTTGCAAAAACCTACTGTAGCTGCCTTCAAAACGAGAGAGGGACGTGTATTGGTAGCATATGAAAAATATATAAACTTTTTGGGAGTAATACCATTTTTATTGTGTTTTTTTTCCCCAGCCAGGAAAGGTGTACTGACTTCCATTTGAGGAATTCCTCCTTGGACTGTGTGAACAGTGGTTTAAAATTGTATGCAAATAATTCCCTGCCTGTCGGGGCTATCTTAATTCCCATAAATGTGATATGTTTTGTTCGCCAGTCAGGAGTGTATTTGTTGGAGTGTGTGTATTGTTTGTGCTGGGATGGCTATTGGTATAGCTTGCTTCTTGGATTGATTTAGCTTGTAATAGGAGATTGCTCCATAGGACTCTAAGAGGGATAATAATGCTGGTAGTGACGTTTCAGCTTTGGTCAGAGGTAATAAAATATCATCAGCGAATAGGGATAACCGGTATTCCAGTTTGCCTACCTGGATTCTACTAATTTCTTTATGTGTCCTAATTTTGTGCGCTAAGGGTTCTAGTGATAGGACAAAAAACAGGGGGGGACAGTGGGCATCCCGGTCTAGTCCCGTTAGTGATGCGGAATAATGTGGATAAGAATCCTGCGTTAGACATTTGGGCCACATGGTATATATTTTAGTGCAGTGTGTGAGATGTAACCTTGTGTACATACTGGGGGTATATATTGCCCTCTGCAGGGGTATAAATCAGTCTTATCGATAAATAACACACTCTTGCACTAATGTGCTATAAAATGCACAGTTTTCCCTTTTGTGAACAAGAATATAATTTTATGAAATCTGGCTGGTATAATGACACAATGCTATCTGTCTGGTATAAAATTATTTCCAGGACTGGTTTTTATCCCCAGTCCGGCACTGATGGTGTGATGTCTCAGTGTTATGCTTGTAAACAGGTGTGATTTGCCTATGTTGTGCTTGCAGTAAGGTGTAATTGCCTGTATTATGCTTGTCATTAGATGTGATGTGCCTGTATTATGCTTGTGATAAGGTGTGATGTGCCTGTACTATGCTTGCAATCTGGTGACAAGCATTCCTCTGGCACATCATCACACAAGTATAAATATGTGTGTGTATATATATATTTATGATTTAAAGTTGAGAATGTCTTCATTATTCTAAACACAGATCAGGAGATCTGCCCTTGGAGGATTCTAACTCGAATTATAAAACAAATGACAAGGCAAACAATAAAAATGACTTAAACCCCACAGATATATTCCACTATCTCAAGATTCTTTTTACAAGACATAACACAACATCATAGTTACATAGTTACATAGCTGAAAAGAGACTTGCGTCTAGGGATCGACCGATTATCGGTTTTACCGATATAATCGGCCGATATTCGGTATTTTCGGCAATATCGGTATTGGCCAATTCAGATACCGATATTGCCGATAATACCTCCTAGGACCGCCAGGCTCATTACAAGCCCGGCGGTCCTGGGGGGGCGGAGAGCAAGCGCTTACTCACCTCCCAGCAGCTCCTCCAGCTCCCCAGTGCAACTCTCGCGAGACCCGCCGCCGTCAGAGCGTTGCCATGGGTCACCATGGCAGCACGACACGCTGGCCGCGAGAGTTGCACTGCGGAGCTGGAGGAGCTGCTGGGAGGTGAGCCAATACCACTGGACCACCAGGGACTGCTATATCCCCCCTCCCTGGCCAGGCAACAAGCAGGGAGGGGGGACAACAAACAAAAAATAATAATTAAATCTAAAAAAATAATAATATTATTAATTTAATAAAAAAATGCCCCCTCACACACACTCCATTATATACACATACACTACACAAACACACTGTGTATATAATGCAGTGTGTGTGTGTGTATACAATGCACACAAATACACACACTGCATTATATACACACACACTACACAATATAATGCTGTGTAGTGTGTGTATATAATGCTATGTGTGTGTATATAATGCAGTGTTTGTGTGTAGTGTGTGTATATAATGCAGTGTGTGTATATACAATGCACACAAATACACACTGCATTATATACACACACTATACAAACGCACTGCATTATATACACACACTACACACACACTGTATTATATACACACACTACACACAAACACTGCATTATATACACACACTGCATTATATACACACACTACACAAACACACTGTATATAATGCAGTGTGTTTGTGTAGTGTGTGTTTGTGTAGTGTGTTTATATAATGCAATGTGTGTAGTGTGTGTGTATATAATGCAGTGTGTTTGTGTAGTGTGTTTATATAATGCAGTGTGTGTTTGTGTAGTGTGTGTATATAATGTAGTGTTTATATAATGCAGTGTGTGTAGTGTGTGTATATAATGCAGTGTGTTTTGTGTAGTGTGTTTCTATAATGCACACTGCATTATATACACACACTACATTCACTATACACACACACTACACAAATACACACAAACACTTTGCATTTAGTATATACAGCATTCACTTTATGCACACTACCCACACACTACACAAACACTTTGCTTTCATTATATACACACTACACTAATAACACATACACAAACAAGTATATCCCAAAGTATTAAAATTGCTCAAAACACCAGTGAGATATCCCCTTCACCTTCACAAAATACAGTAATATATAACAAATAGGTGGAGTGTTTTTTGTTGTTTTTTATTGCTCCACCTATTTGTTATATACACTATACTAATACACACTGCATCCACTACACACACTTGACAAATACACACTGCATCCACTACACAAACACACATTGCATCCTCAACACACACTACACAAACACACAATGCATCCACTACACACACTACACAAACACACGCTGCATCCACTACACAAACACACACAGCTCCCCTGTCTAAACACACTGCATCCACTACATGTGGCATGTATATTTTGTGCATTTACCTTTAGAAATAGTTTTTATTTTCCAAAATGGTAAATGTACAGAATATCGGCAAATTATATCGGCTATTGGCCTGAAAGTTCACAGAATATCGGTATCGGCATCGGCTCTAAAAAATCAATATCGGTCGATCCCTACTTGCGTCCATCAAGTTCAGCCTACCTCACATTTGTTTTTTGCTGTTGATCCAAAAGAAGGCAAAAAAAAACAGTTTGAAGCACAATTTTGCAACAAGCTAGGAAAAAAATTCCTTCTTGACCACAGAATGGCAGTCAGATTTATCCTTGGATCAAGCAGTTATTACCCTACATTGAAAGATTATATCCTTGAATATTCTGTTCTTGCAAGTATGCATCTAGTAGCCGTTTGAACATCTGTATGGACTCTGATAGAACCACTTCCTCAGGCAGAGAATTCCACATCCTGATTGTTCTTACGGTAAAAAAACCTTTCCTTTGCCTTAGACAAAATCTTCTTTCTTCCAGTCTAAACTCATGGCCTCGTGTCCTATGTAAAGTCCGGTTTGTGAATAGATTTCCACACAATGGTTTGTATTGGCCACGAATATATTTGTATAATGTTATCAAATCCCCTCTCAGGCGACGTTTTTCTAAACTAAACATCGACCTGCATATAACCATTATACCACAAAAAACAAGTTATTTAGATCAGATGTTTTTAAAATCCTTACCCACCTGGACAGGGGCCTCAAAGAGCACCAGAGAGTGAATCAATTAAAGGTATCAAAATAAAAGCTTTTTCTCACCCGCTGCAGCTGTCTGATAACCGTCCATGCTCCGAGCCACCCCTTCTGGGTCTGGATGGACTGGATTCGTCTGATCCCTCCTTAGTACTGAAAACACCATACAATCTTGTCTTATAGCTGTCCCTATCCAATCTCACTCTTGAGGAAGTACCTACATACCCATAGACTCCATAAATCTCTTCAACTATATTCTTATGCTTTAACCCACTGGTAGGCAAGCCCCCCTAGCCCTGAAGACAATTTATGTAACAGCTACTGAACTATGTTGGTCTTTTTCATGTAATTGTTCAAAAGACCCTAATACTAAATCCCTGTTTTGCCCCACATGGTGGAAAAATACCACGAATTGTAGAGTCCTGAGCACCACTATGAAATGTACCAAAACTCACCAAGTTATGAGTTACCACCATCATGTCTAGCTCCGTAAAGGATGAACTTTCTTCTGTGGAAATATTACTTATGCTTATGTCCCAGGTAACATTACAGGTTGTTCCTGTGCAATCTCACGCCTAACCATGTTTTCCAAATCTGACCTGATCCCTGAAACAACCCAGCTACACAAACTGCAGAGATACAGGAGAGATGTTAAGAACACCCTTGCTTCAGATTGTAACCCTGAATTCACTCTCTTATCTAAATTCGAATACTCTGCCCTTGCGTACTCTATGGTAAGAGTCCCAGGCTTAGCACTGTATAATACCCAAGTAATTAAGGGTTTAGATGCCACTTCCCAGACCCTAGAAGAGCTACTTACAGACACCCAGGCAAATAAGAAGGCAATCCTTGAGAATAGAGCAGCCATTGACTACTTACTAATAAAACATGAGCTATTGAAGGTAAGTGCTGTTTTAACCTATCTGACCACATCACTATGATCCATAAACATATAAAAGATTTACATTACTTAGTAAAGGATATCAAACTGTGATGGAATTTCGGTGAAATGTAAATTTAGTAGGCCGAGATTTCCACGTGGCATTTGTGTATGTTGTATCAGTTAGTTAGTTACACGCAGGGCCGGCCTTAGGCAATTAGGCGCCCTGTGCAAAAAGTCTTCACGGCGCCCCCCCCACCTCCCACCAAGTTGCCTGAATACAGTAACACACACAGGCACCGGGGACGTGTGTATCACGAGGCAAACAAGGCATCTGCCTTGGGCGCCACTTTGCAGGGGGCGGCAAAAAAAGCATCCCTCCAAACCCCCAGGCAGATCCCTTGCTTGCCTCGCATCCTGGGGGGCTCAAGAGCTGACCGGCTGGCCACTTTTGAGCCCCCCCAAGGCTGGCAGCGGGCAGCGAAGGAGCATACTCACCTGAGCTCTTCCTGCTCAGCTTCCTCTGCGCCGCTTAATGAAGCCGGGAGCCAGAATATGACGTCAGTCCGGCTCCCGGCATCACTAAGCGCTACTTACTCAGCCTGTGCGCCCCTGCCTGCCTGCCCAGCAGCCACACTGGACTGCTGGTAAGAAATCCACTCCAGCTTTCCCAGGGAGGCTGGGTGGATTTAAAATAAATGTAAAAAATATTAGTTTGTGAGTGTTAGTGGAAATGTCTGTGTGTGTGTCTGTGAGTGTTTATTTTGAAGTGAATGTGTGTGTGTGTGTGTGTGTGTGTGTGTCTGTAAGTGTGTAATTGTGTGTGTCTGTAAGTGAATGTGTGTGTGTCTGTGAGTGAATGTGTGTGTTGGTCAGTGAGTGTATATGTGTCAGTCAGTGAGTGTGTATGTGTCAGTCAGTGAGTGTGTATGTGTCGTCAGTGAGTGTGTATGTGTCGTCAGTGAGTGTGCGTCTGTCAGTGAGTGAGCGTCTGTCAGTCAAAGTGCGGCCTTGACAGGAAGGGGTGGGGGAAATTTAAACTCGGTTACAGGCATGTACACACACACTCAGTTAAAGGCAGTCACACATACAGGCACAGGCACAAACAAGCACAGCTACAGCGACACACACAAACACATAGGCAGTCACACACACAGACAGACACACAGTAACACACACATAGACAGTTATACACACACACAGGCAGGCAGTCACACAGATAGAAAGTCACACACACAGGCAGGCGGTCACACACAGACAGATAGTTACAGACAGACACACACACACACACACAGGCAGGCGAGCCCCGGTCACATACAGGCAGTCACACACACAGGCAGTCACACACACAGACAGACAGTCACACACACAGACAGTCACACAGACAGACGGATCTCTCACACACACAGGCAGTCACACACACGGGCAGTCCACAGACAGACAGTCACACAGACAGACAGTCACACACACAGGCAGTCACATACATGGGCAGTCACACAGACAGACAGTCACACACACAGACAGTCACACACAGGCAGGCAGTCACACACAGAGACAGTCACACACACACACAGAGACACAGTCACACACACACACACACACACACAAGGACAGGCAGTCACACAGACAGTCACACACACAGACAGACAGTCACACACACACACTTACCTCTTTCCAGTGGATGCAGTTGGCTGATGGGGAAGCATCTTTCCCTCTTCCTGTACAGCAGGGGCTTCGGGAGGTATTAGCCCGTCTCCGCCTCTCGATAAGCCCCGCCTCCGCCGCTCGGTAAACCCCGCCCCCTCTGCCGCGATTTTTTTTTTTTTTTTAAATAGACCTTTTAGCTCCCATGCACTCCGGCCATGAGTGAGCTGTGTCGGCCACAGGGCGCCCCCTGTTCCATGGCGCCCTGTGCGGTCGCACAGCTCGCACACCCCTAAGGCCGGCCCTGGTTACACGTAGCTAAGATACTGTCATCAATGTACTGAGCATGTGCAGGAATGCAGGAACTGAAATCACACTCTTTTCTCCTTTGTTTCGGATGAGCCATGTGGTCTGCCCATATGAGGAAATCCAAATCCTGTCCACTGATTGGTTAAGGGTATGTGCGGGTGGAGCTATTAATGGGAGAGTTATAGTTCTATAAAAAGCATGTACTCCATGTGTTCGGCCCTCAGACCTGTTTTGGAACGTTAGTTCATCTGAGACCCGATCGGTATGTTAATAAAGACCTCTTACTTCCTGAAAACTTAAGTCAGGATTTGCAAGATTTCAAGTCCATCCCAGGGGAATGTGTATTGCTTCAATACGTGGATGATCATTTGATAGCGGCTGTTACTAAAGAGATATGCCAACAAGCAACTTATGATTTGCTTCACATTCTATGGAGAGCAGGATACAAGGTATCAAGGAAGAAAGCGCAATTGTGCCAGTCAATTGTTACATATTTAGGATTCCATATTTCCGAAGGTCAAAGAATAATGGGACCTGAAAGAAAAGAAGCAGTGTGTCGGATATCTATATCTAAGAATAGAAGACAAGTGCGAGAATTCTTAGGAGCAGCAGGATTCTGTAGGATATGGATTCCTAATTATGTGATACTGGCGAAAGCTCTATATGAAGCTGTGAAAGGCACAGAATATGACCCCTTTTTGTGGACCTCTGAACAACAGAAGGCATTTGAGGATGTTAAGAAAGCACTTATGAGTGCCCCAGCCCTAGGTTTTCCAGATCACACGTCCTTTCTATCTGTACGTACATGAGCAAAGAAGAATGGCTGTGGGAGTATTGATCTGGGATCATGGCAAAGACCTGTAGCTTATATGTCCAAACAGTTGGATGCAGTGGTCAGTGGTCTTCCACCTTGTCTGCGAGCAGTGGCTGCCGCTGCTCTGTTGGTAGCAGAAGCTGACAAGCTCACATTGGGTCAGGAACTCTATGTGCGAGTACCCCATGCAGTACAGACCCTATTGGATTACAAAGGAAATCATTGGTTTAGCAACAGTCGAATGACCAAATATCAAGCTATGTTATGTGAAAATCCAAGAGTACACCTCAAAACTGTCAATAATTTGAATCAAGCTACCCTTCTGCCCCAGACTACTGAAAGTCAACATGATTGTTTGGAGATAATGGATGAAGTGTTTTCAAGCAGGCCTGATCTTCATAATTTCCCCATCCAGAATCCAGACATACAGTATTATACGGATGGTAGTAGTTATGTGAAAGAAGGTATACGTTATGCAGGGTATGCGGTAACAACCATAGACAAGGTGATAGAAGCACGGCCACTGTCGAAAGGGACATCAGCACAGAATGCGGAACTGATTGCATTAACAAGGGCCTTGCAATTAGCTGAAGGGTTGAGAGTGAATATTTACACAGATTCGAAATATGCTTTTCTAACCACCCATGCCCATGGAGCATTGTATAAAGAAAGGGGATTGTGAATTCAGAAGGGAAAGAAATCAAGTATGCAGCAGAAATACTCCAACTGTTAGAGGCGGTATGGGAACCGAAGGAAGTCGGTATTATACATTGCAGGGCACATCTGAAAGGTGATAGTGATGTAGTAAAAAGAAATCGCATGGCCGATAGTGCAGCAAAACATGCCGCTGAATCCGGGCAAGAAGAATATTTGGGGTATGTGGCTGCCCTTGTGCCGGCACCTCTGTCTCAATGGACTCCGATATTTACAACCCAAGAGATGGAGTGGTTGAAGACTGAAGCTGGGAAATACTTGGAGAATAATTGGTATCAGTTAGAAGATGGAAGAATAGTTATTCCGACATCTCTGGCTATAGAGATTATTCAGAACTTCCATAATGCTACACATTCAGGAAGAAATAGTATGGAAGAATCTCTCAGGAAACATTTCTACATACCAAGATTATCCAATCTTACTCAAGCTATTGTTCGAAGATGTGTTTTGTGTGCTCGAAACAATGCAAGTCAAGGCCCAGTCAAACCCCCTGGAGTTCAATATATGGGAGGACTCCCAATGTCAGATTTGCAAATGGACTACACTGTAATGCCTAAATCTGGGCAGGGCCGTCTTTAACGCGGGGCAAACGGGGCAGCTGCCCCGGGCCCAGTTACTCCTTGGGGGCCCAAAGCAGCTGCCCTATTTGCCCCGCCGCCCATAGCCTGCATAAGAAAAATCCCCCCCCCCCATGGGCCCGCGGTGCTGGTACTGCGGCTGCACCGGGGCCCATACTCTAAGGAGGCTCACCGGGTGGCCAATACATTTAGGGCCACCCGGTGAGCACGTTTCAGCAGGGGCCCGGTCGGGTGCTGTGACCCTTTAACAGCACGACCGGGCCCCTTGCTTTACAGCAGCACTGGGAGGAAGTGACGTCCGCAAGTCACTTCCTCCCTCAGAGATGATGAGCCGCGCGGGAGGGAGCCTGTGCCAGGACGCAGTGAGGAGGCAGACTGAGCAAAGAGACCAAGTCCCCAACTCCCAACCACCCAAGCCAGCACACTGGACCCCAGGGAAGGTAGGAAACTGGAGGGGGGCTTTAAAGTTTGCATAGGTGTATTTCAGTATGTCTGTGTGTCAGTATGTCTGTGGGTCAGTATGTCTGTGTGTGTGTGTGTGTCTGTCAGTAGGTCTATGTGTGTCAGAAGGTCTGACTGTGTGCCAGTATGTCTGTGTGCCAGTGTGTGTCTGTCAGTAGGTCTGTGTGTCTGTCAGTAGGTCTGACTGTGTGTATGTCAGTATGTCTGTGTGCCAGTATGTCAGTGTGTCTGTGTGCCAGTATGTCTGTGTGTCTGTGTGCCAGTATGTCTACCTGGGTGTGCCACTATGTCTGTCTGTGTGTGCCACTATGTCTGTGTGTGTGTGTCAGTATGTGTCTGTGTATGCCAGTATGTCTGTCTGGGTGTGTGTCAGTATGTCTGTGTGTCTGTGTGCCAGTATGTCTGTGTGCCAGTATGTCTACCTGGGTGTGCTACTATGTCTGTCTGTGTGTGCCACTATGTCTGTCTGTGTGTGCCACTATGTCTGTGTGTGTGTGTCAGTATGTGTCTGTGTATGCCAGTATGTCTGTCTGGGTGTGTGTCAGTAGGTCTGTGTGTGTGTCTGTCAGTAGGTCTGTGTGTCTGTCAGTAGGTCTATGTGTGTGTGTCTGTCAGTAGGTCTGTGTGTGTGTCTGTCAGTAGGTCTGTGTGTGTGTCTGTCAGTAGTCTGTCAGTAGGTGTGTGTGTATGTGTGTCTGTCAGTAGGTCTGTGTGTGTGTAGTATGTCTGTGTGTGTCTGTCAGTAGGTCCCTGTCTGTCAGTAGGTCTGACTGTGTGTGTGTCAGTATGTCTGTGTACCAGTATGTCTGTCTGTGTGTGCCATAAATATATATATATATCGATATATGTGTGTGTGTATATGTGCATACATCTCAGCATTCACACACTAACATCACATCCAAATACACACTGGCATTTGGTTACACACCAAAATTATATGTAAACACACCCCTGCATTCAAAAACCAACACTACACATAAATACATGCTTGCACGTACGCCAACACCACATACAAACATATTCCATACAAAAACCTGCTAACATTCAAACACACAACAGCTTAGTGCTAAATACAAACCTTCAAACATGGGTAGATGGAAGAGCCCCAGCTGTCAGTGCATTGCTGGAGTTGCACGACAGATGGGGATCTACCTTCTAATCACCCGTGCGATAGGGAGGCTCAAAAAAATTCTTGCACCTCTCTACTTTAGGTCTGCCACTTCGTTAGGGTGGAGGACGTGATTGCACGCCTGGTGAGGGGGGACAGGTTCCAGGGGCCCAAACAAATGCTTTGCCCAGGGTCCAATCAATATTAAAGACGGCCCTGAATCTGGGGGATATCGTTACTTGTTGGTAGCTGTGTGTAGGTTGGGTAGAAGCTTGTTCAACTCGTACAGAAAAGGCAGGAGAAGTTGTGAGAAGTTATACCCAGATATGGACTTCCGTGTTCTATCGGATCAGACAATGGTCCAGCCTTTATCCATCAGTGTTTACAACAATTGACTCATGTGCTTGGTATTAAGTGGAAACTTCATACAGCATATAGACCTCAGAGTTCTGGAAAGGTGGAAAGGATGAACAGAACAATAAAAACCCAATTGGCTAAAATGTGTCAGGAAACTCAGCTCAAGTGGAATGTCCTTTTGCCAATAGCTCTGTTGTGGATACATAGTACTCCTACCAGAAGAATGGGTCTGTCTCCCTTTGAAATCGTGTATGGGCGTCCACCTCCCATACTCAGTAATCTAAGGGGGGACTTGAATCAGTTGGGTGAAGGAATTACTCAGCAGCAGGTTGTAGAGTTGGGTAAAACTATGGAGGAAGTACAGAAATGGGTGCAAGATAGGTTATCTGTGAACATATATCCACCTGTTCATTCCTATCAACCGGGAGATCAAGTGTGGATAAAAGAATGGAATATTGTTCCATTAGGTCCAAAGTGGAGGGGTCCTTATGTTGTTCTTTTATCTACTCCAACAGCTGTAAAGGTGGCAGAAGTGACTCCGTAGATTCTAGGGCAGTGATGGCGAACCTATGGCACGCGTGCCACAGGTGGCACACCGAGCCCCCTCTGTGGGCATGCGGCCATAGGTCGCCGTGCGCTCCGCCGGCGCATCCATAAGGCGGCACAAGTGGCCGCCTTAGGTCGCACCGGCCCGGCGGGCGCAAAGCCAGAGTGACCGGCAGGAGGTGAGCGCATAGCGCATAGCGCTCCCTCCTGCCAGACACTCTGTGTAGCTGGCCGAGCGCGCCGCGGTACAGGAACTTATGTTTCCTGTACCCGGGCGGACGGAAATGAAGTGCTCACAGAGAGAGCACTTCCTGTCCGCCGGGTACAGGAAACTGAGCTCCGCGCTGCGCTCGGCGCTACAAGGTAGGAGCTCAAGGGGGGGACACCTGAGGGAGAGATGGGGAAGGGGACAACCTGAGGGAGAGATGGGGGGACAAATCTGAGGGAGAAAGATGAAGGGAAGGGACAACCTGAGTGGAGTGGTATGGGGGGAAGGGTCAAACCTGAGGGAGAGACAGGGGAAGGGGACAACCTGGAGGGAGAGAGATGGGGGGTGAAGGGGACAACCTGAGGGAGAGATGGGGAAGGGGACAAACTGAGGGAGATGGGGAAGGGACAACCTGAGGGAGAGATGGGGAAGGGGACAACCTGAGGGGAGAGATGTGGGGAAGGGGACAACCTGAGGGAGAGATGGGGAAGGGGACAACCTGAGGGAGAGAGATGGGGAAGCGGGGACCTGAGGGAGAGATGGGGGGAAGGGGAAACCCTGGTGAGAGATGTGGACACCTGAGGGAGATGGGGGACCTGAGGGAGAGATGGGGAAGGGGACAACCTGAGGGAGAGATGGGGAATGGGACAACCTGAGGGAGAGATGGGGAAGGGGACAACCTGAGGGAGATATGGGGGAGAAGGGGACAACCTGAGGGAGAGATGGGGAAGGGGACAACCTGAGGGAGAGATGGGGAAGGGGGACCTGAGGGAGAGATGGGGGGGAAGGGGACCTGAGGGAGAGATGGGGGAGAACTGAGGGAGAGATGGGGGGGAACTGAGGGAGAGATATGGGGGGGGAAACTGAGTGTGGGATGGGGGAAAAAAATGAGGGAGGGATGGGGGGAAAGAAAACAGTGTGGGGGGGGAGAGGGGACGACATACACACAGCACCCCTGCCCTACACATATCACACACCACACACACACACACACACATCACCCCACACACACACACCACACAAACACATCACCCCACACACAAACACATCACCCCACACACAAACACATCACCGCACACACAAACACATACACTGTACCCCTCAATGCAGTGTGTGTATTTAGCAGTCTGTGTGTGTGTACACTCAGCAGTACTCGGCAGTCTGTGTGTGTGTGTGTGTGTGTGTGTATTTAGCAGACTGTGTACTCAGCAGTCTGTGTGTATTCAGCAGTCTGCTAAATAGACAGACTGCCGAGCACACACACAAACTGCTTAATACACACACAGATGTTAATTAGTTCGGACAACTGTATGAGTTGTTTTTTCTAAACTTAAACCTCAATATTCAGGTTTAATTGCCGTTTTGGCACTTTGAGGGGAAAAAAATTGGCATGTATTACGGTTTGGGCACTCGGGCTCAAAAAGGTTCGCCATCACTGTTCTAGGGTTAAACCAGAGGCATATTCTTGGCAAGCTATTCCAGATTCTGAAAATCCTTGCAAGATCCGGTTAAAGCGGGTAACTCAGTCGGAGTGAGATATAATACGAGGAGATATTGGGACATCTTAGTTGAAAGTAACAACAAATATCAGCAAGTAGGTGTTTTGACGGCCATATTACAGCCTGACCCCCTACCTACGTGTCATAGTCAGAGTGTCTCGAAGGGACCTCTGTGAAGAAAAGTGAGGATCAGAAGAATGACAATCCTTGCAGCCCTCACAATCGGGAAGCTGAGGTGCCATCACACGGTCAAAAAATAGAAATGAGGACTTCTGAAATAATATGTTATATTATGTGTTTAGGCATTTTTTAAGACTACGAAAACAGGTAACCAAATATCCCAAACTCTCATTTGGCACTCACAGTACGAATGTAGGGGATCTGTATCTAAGTGTAGATATTTAGGTATAGATTACAGTGTCTGCAAACCAATATCAGGAGAGCCTAAATGTTTTGATCTCCAATTCCAACCTCGTACAATTTGGTTGGTAATTCGGAACAGTAACTCCCAGGGGACCTTGATAAATAGGACTGTGATAAATACCATACATTCTACAGGCATTCTACTATTTGATGCATGTAAGGCGATCTCTGGTAGTGGAAAACCTTGGAATGTATGTGGTAATCTTAAATGGGAACGAACTTATGGGTTTAATGATAAATATTTAAGTCCCAGTAAAAGATCTACTGATCCTGATTCCCAAATAGGGATTTTAATTTTTGTCCATATTGGTCTTGTGTAGGGTGGGAGACCTGGGGAAAAACAGTGGATCAAGATATGATTAGCCAAAGGTTGCCCACTACACCACACTGTAAGTCTATGGAATGTAATCCTGTCCATATGACCATCTCTAATCCACAACATTTTATTGATAAGTGTGGAAATCTATTTGGGTTCCAAATATATGGCACAGGAGTAGATCCAAGGACCAAAATATATGTAGGACTTGAAACTGAGACGATAGCAACTGAAACTCATCAGGTTTTTCATTCCTTCCATGAGGAGATGAGTGTTGAAGATAAAATTCCCCATAATGTCAAGAACCTATTTATTGATTTGGCTGAGAGTATTGTGGGTAGTCTTAATGTAACTAATTGCTTTGCTTTGTATGTGGAGGTACTAATATGGGAGACCAGTAGTCACCGGGAGGCAAAGGAAGTATGGTACCCTGGTTCTGAGACAGATGAACAACAAATACTTTCTCAGTCTGATCATCAAGTACTAGAGGTAAATCAGAGTGGCGGTTAAAAACCTCCATTATAGGTCATGTATGTTTAGCCAGGAAAGGGCCATTGTATACCACACCTGTTGGCGAGTTAATATGTCTAGGACAGAAAGCCTATAATGCCGATACTAAAGATACTACTTGGTGGTCAGCTTCAAATGTCTCAGAGCCTACTAATCCGTTTGCCAATTACACCCATTTAAAAGAGGTATGGTTTGACTTATCTGCTACATCCAATTGGAAAGCCCCAGCGAATTTATATTGGATCTGTGGGAAGAAAGCATATTCAGAGTTACCACAAGATTGGGAAGGGGAATGTGTATTAGGTATGCTCAAACCATCCTTCTTCCTGTTGACAATTGAGACAGGAGAGACCTTGGGAGTTAAGGTTTATGATGTAAATCATAAAAAGAAGCGAGCATCCTTGAATATAGGTAGCTGGGAAGATGATGAGTGGCCTCCCCAACGCATTATTAATTATTATGGACCTGCTACTTGGGCAGAAGATGGTACCTGTGGATATAGAACCCCAATATATATGCTCAACCGTATTATAAGAGTACAGGCGGTGGTTGAGATTATCACTAATGAGACAGCTCAATCTTCTAGCACTTAATCTTCTAGCTAAGCAAAATACTCGGATGAGATCAGCCCTCTATCAAAATAGATTAGCTCTGGACTACGTATTAGCAGTAGAGGGAGGTGTATACAGAAAGTTTAATCTCAGCAACTGTTGTTTGCACATAGATGATGAAGGGCGGGCAGTGGCTGAACTTACAAGCCACATGGTTAAACTGACGCATGTGCCTACTCAGGTCTGGAATGGGTATAATCCTAGTAGTTGGTTTGGAAGTTGGTATGAGCAGCTTGGAGGGATTAAGGCGTTAGTAGCAGGAGTAGTATTCGTTATATTCTTATGTCTCTTTCTGCACTGCCTAATTCCATTAGTGGTCAGATCTATACGTAGTATCATAGAGAGTACTATAGAAAGAAAGACAGCTGCTCATGTAATGGCTGTCTATAGATATGAATCCCTTGCCCAAAGAGAACATATTCAGGATGAGGAATGCAGAAGGAGTTTGTGATGATGCTAAGATGCTTACAAGGTCTGTTCTGGTCCAATGGCTACTTGAGACGTGTTGATAAACTATGATTGGTGATGCATCTGGAATAATTTTGTATCAGAGACATCAAAGGGGGGGATGTGATGGAATTTCAGTGAAATGTAAATTTAGTAGGCCGAGATTTCCACGTGGCATATGTGTATGTTGTATCAGTTAGTTAGTTACACGTAGCTAAGATACTGTCATCAATGTACTGAGCATGTGCAGGAATGCAGGAACTGAAATCACACTCTTTTCTCCTTTGTTTCGGATGAGCCATGTGGTCTGCCCATATGAGGAAATCCAAATCCTGTCCACTGATTGGTTAAGGGTATGTGCGGGTGGAGCTATTAATGGGAGGAGTTATAGTTCTATAAAAAGCATGTACGCCATGTGTTCGGCCCTCAGACCTGTTTTGGAACGTTAGTTCATCTGAGACCCGATCGGTATGTTAATAAAGACCTCTTACTTCCTGAAAACCTGCATCCATCTCTCTGTGCCTGGCTTCTGCAAGTTTACTCGGTTACAAAACAGGATACTGGCTTCTTTGGGGATTGGGATTGGTCATTTGGGCTAGGAACATGGTTGACTTTACCAATAAGGAAACTTTTTTACTTTTTGCCATTAGCTGTATTTGTTATTATGGCCATTTTTCTAACCTTTAGATTCTTCTCATATCTACTTACCTCTCTATGTAAAAACAAATCTACTGTTGGTCGTACCTTAACTTACATTCCAGTTCCGACTTCAGAAGGTTTTTACGCAATATACTGTAAGCTCGTTTGAGCAGGGACCTCTTCAACCTATCGTTCCTGTAAGTTTTCTTGTAACTGTCCTATTTATAGTTTAATCCCCCTCTAATAATATTGTAAAGCGCTACAGAATCTGTTGGCGCTATATAAATGGCAATAATAATACAATGTTACCTCACCTAACAAATGAAGGAACTCTACTCAGCTGATTCTGGTGGTCTCTCAGTCCAAGGGAACAGTGATGAAGAAATAAATGAAATACCTTGGACATTTGGGTGACCCTTGGATCAAAAGAGGGGATTGTGAAAGAATTTACTTTGATTCGAATGTTCAAGCTTATAGGTGTCATATTAGATATCCTATATTAAAATTGGCTAACTTGGACTCAGGAAATGCTTGATGCTTAAAACGACACTTAAGACCATATATGTCTAGTTCCCGGAGCAGATAGCCCCCACCTGAGCTGTCTCTCCTAAATCAGTCTGTTCTTTCTCTTTCTCAGAACTTATTTGTTATATGTACATGACGCTCATCCCTGTCTTATCTGCACTCCTTTCAACCTTTCACTCTCTTCCTACTACTGTCTTATGAGTATTTGCACTTAAGCACTTACTTTTTAATGTATAAAAACACAACTGACAAAATAAAGGTCGGAGGCTTATTTTGATTAACGGATTACTCCGAACATAAATCTGCTCTCTTACGCATCTTCACTTACCGACCAATTTCTTTTTACGACTGGATCGTACGAACGGAACCTGGTCGGTAAGTGGGGACAACCAACAGCCAAAAAAACCCCCAAAACACATCAACTCTAAATCCTTTCAATACAGCAAGTAAGGATTATTATATTAAAAATAATTTAGAGGTGACAGTTGTCCTTAAAATAATATGTATCCAAGAAAACATGTCTCTATCTGGCATTCCTATGGTTGGGAAGTTTGGAAGTCAAAACACAGGCACACTCTTGCCATCCATATACACTCCTTCCAAAAGCTGTTTTGACCTCCATTTGCCTGGAGTCCAACAGCCACCGCTCATTGCTAGTGGTGCAAGCCGCAATTACGTCCACGCGCTTTAAGGCGCCGTACAGTGTGTTTAGAGCTCTACGCTGCCAGTGAAGCGCCCGCCAATCAGCGTGCTCGCTGCGGTTGCCTTGGAGAGCGGGACGCTGGGCCCGGTCATGGCGGAGGATTGGAATCTAGATACCGGGGAGGCCGTGTACCGGTCCCGGGACCCAGTGAACAACCTGCGGATCCAGTGAGTTGTGCGCAGTCTGCGTGTTCGGAGTGATTAGAGTAATGCAAATATCTGCTGTCTGTCTAACTGTCTGACTGTGACTGTCCGCAGGGTGGCGCTACAGCGAGTTACCCCCGTCAGTGCCCTGCTACACGGGGAGCACCAGGGAGAGGGAGACCGAGGAGACCTGGAACTCAGGAGCCTCCATGCCAACTCTGCCAACAGTGAGTAACAGGCCCACCACGGGGAGAGGGGAGGGGGGGCTCCATTAATAATAATAATAATATATAGTCATTATATACGTGGCTCCATTAATAATAATAATAATAATAATAATAATATATAGTCATTATATACCTGGCTCCATTATTATTATTAATATATAGTCATTATACCTGGCTCCATTATTATTAATAATATATAGTCATTATATACCTGGCTCCATTATTATTATTAATAATAATATAGTCATTATACCTGGCTCCATTATTATTAATAATATATAGTCATTATATACCTGGCTCCATTATTATTAATAATATATAGTCATTATATACCTGGCTCCATTATTATTATTAATAATAATATAGTCATTATACCTGGCTCCATTATTATTAATAATATATAGTCATTATATACCTGGCTCCATTAATAATAATAATATATAGTCATTATATACGTGGCTCCATTAATAATAATAATAATAATAATAATAATAATAAAAAATAGTCATTATATACCTGGCTCCATTATTATTATTAATATATAGTCATTATACCTGGCTCCATTATTATTAATAATATATAGTCATTATATACCTGGCTCCATTATTATTATTAATATATAGTCATTATACCTGGCTCCATTATTATTAATAATATATAGTCATTATATACCTGGCTCCATTATTATTAATACTATAATATAGTCATTATACTCTCATGATATCTGTAGGGATAATGGGGTTTGGGTTGAGCCAAATTGCCATTAACCTTTTTGACACCGCTGTATTGTCACAAGCTCTGTTATAGTATTAATGTAATAGTTTTTGGGGTTTTTTTTGGTTTTTTTAAACTACCTGACTTGGGCAAAAAATAACAAAAAATGGGGATATACAGTAGTTACAATACACAATTAAGTGAGCTTTAAAGCCGCTGTTTAGTGAGAGAGAGCGAGTGTGTTGAATTCTGTATGTCCGAGATGCGTTTTTATAGTTTCCGTATCATTTTTCATTGTACAGGTGTTTTGAGTTAACAGTGCACACACGCTCTAGTGCAGGCATAGGCATCCTTCGGCACTCCAGCTGTTTTGGACAACACCTCCCATGATGCTTTACCAGCATTATGGGGGGGGATGTAGTCCACAACATCTTGGTTACTGGCACTGTCCCCTAAGTAAGAATCACCAGGGCGACAGTGGTTCAACCCCCTCATTAGGTATCGTTCTAGCAGCACTGTCTACTTCCTCTTTGTTGTTATCAATTTCCCCTGACACTCTCAGCCAATGAAATCCACCCTAATGTGGACAGAATTGATATATCTAATACAAGAGTGAAACTCCAACTATTTCCAGTGTTGTCACACTGTAATGCATATGGGACTTAGACTTCCCGTTAAATGAACATCAGACTTCAATTGGCAAGGAATTATGAGAGTTGTAGTCCAACAACAGGTAAGAGTGGACTTTAGGCACCACTAATTTTCCTTTTCCCTTCCGTTGTTTTTTAGGGGATCTTCGCCCAGGTGATGACAAAGAAGAAATCGTCATTTCCTGGCAGGAAAAACTCTTTAGTCAGGTGACCTCTTCCTAAAAAATTTCAGTTGTCCTCCAGGGAAATTTTTATATAACTTGTCAATATACGTAGGATGCTAAACATATTTTAGGTTAAAAATTTTTTTCAAAATGTGATCCTGCCATTTAATAGATCTTGGGTCAGTAACACATTGTAAATTAAATCAATGATAGAACAGTGATAGTACGTGTTTTTATGTCTGAGTGCCAAATCTTCAACATAAATCAAGTAACAGAACATAAAGTGCACCGGACCCATTTTTTCCCCCTTTACACTCTAACTGTAACCTTTCCCCAACATCATTCCCCTTTCCTTATATCGGCTATTTTATTCCTCACAAGTTACTTCCAATTTACACATCAGTGTCCTTTGACCATTCTTATGTTTATTAAAGTAGTTCTGCTTATTGCACTATTTCATGTTGTCACAATCATGGGTCTCTCATGCCCTAGTGAGATTTTTCATTAATATCTGATAATGCACTGGTAAAATGCAGTAAGTGTGGATATATCAGCAGTAGCATCAGGATAACTTATGATTATATTATAAGATATCAAGCGCATTAGCAGGACACGTTTAATTGGCTGTGTAATACTGATGACTAGCTTAAAGGCAGACATTGGCTTAACCCCTTAAGGACAAATGACGTGTGACATGTCATGATTCCCTTTTATTCCAGAAGTTTGGTCCTTAAGGGGTTAAAGGCAGACATCTTAATGATGAAGTGGCATCAATATAGAGCGCTAAACAAACTATATAAAGACCAGGGGAAATCCTTCTGCTGATATCAGTAGTGACATTAGCTAGGGATTGCCTCTGCTTTAGTTTTGGTTTAGTTGTGGGATAGCTAGAATTACATACTGTCAAAGTTTGATGCTGGTCAGTATAGTGTCAGGAGTGTCTATGGGACATAAATGTGTCTGTTATTTTGCCCTATCATTTTCCACAAAAACTTGACAAATATATAGGTGTGGTGTATTGCTGTGCTCAGTTGATGCAGCAGAATACAAGTGTGTGAAACTCATGATTAAAATTCATTATGTATGGGAAATTATAAACAAAACTGTAAAAAAAAAGTGTTTTATGTTTTTGTTACGTTTTCTCTCCCTCTCCCCCCAGTTTGAATATGAGTTGTATAAAAACGATGCCGTCTGCCATTCCCCTCTTGATCGACAATATCACCAAGATGTTCTTGCCCTGGAGCGTAGTGGTGGACGGAAAAACAGACGTATATTCACATACACGGACCATGATCGATACACCAACTTAGAGGAGGTATGTAATGGTTAAAAGTGGAGCTCAGCCTACTATCATGTGCTATCCCACCTGTCCATGAGACGTCATAGCTGCACGCCTTGTATTTTATTTTTTACCAGTTTTCTATTGGTTATAATTCTAAACTGTGTGGTGTGAGTGTACCTTTTAGAGTATGTGTTTCTGGCATTTTTCCCTCTTGAAGAGCCACCTAACCATCAAAACGCACGTCATGGTTCTTATTGTTTACTTTCTAGTGTTGATTCATTTTGTTTGATTTATCACTTCATATCACTTTGGAAGTTAATTTCTCTTTACCGTGCCAGCAATTTGTAGTATTTTCATCGTAACTTAAAATAGAATTTCTGTAATACTGAGGGACAGTCTAGCCTTGTGCCAACAAGCTCTGGTTTTAAGCATTTTCCTTATTTTCGGTGTTCTCAAAGGCACATTTAAGGACTGGCAGTGATTAATGTATGCTGGGGAGTTATTCATTCTTTCTCTTCTTTGGCTGTTTTTATGATTTTATTATATATTTATTATTAATTTTTCAACCAGTACCCTCTATACAAGGAATTTAGGCTTTCACTGTTTCTTTATATAATCTTTGGAATAGGAAATTGTAGCAGTTTTTTTTCACAGCATCTTGCTGTATCTTCCCTCTGAAGATGCTTTATAGGTGTTGGACTGATCATACTCTCCTTATATTTCGGTTAACTGTTTTAAATATGTTTATTAAAGGCTAAGTTTGAATTCCTAGTTTTGTGTTTCTGCTCATCTTTAGTCCCCGTAGTTAGGAACTACCTCCCATTTCATAACCGATCTGTGCTCATTTTAGCTCCATTTTCTTTTCTTTTGAATTAGCCAACAGGCCTTACCAAACTCTGCATGCCAAGAGTAATTCAAATGTTACAGCACAGAGCCCTAATATCCTAATATGTCATTCCTATTGTAGTAAGGACTGTATAAAGCATTCACCCACATGTAAGGAATTGTTCAATATTATCTACAAAATAACAAGGGGAGGTGTGGCTGGGGCTGCATAAACAAAAGTGATTTGACTCCTAAATGGCAGAGAATTGAGCAGTAATACTTCAGGGGTATGATTTATACACCAAACCGTCTTTATTACGCTAAAGTTGTTTTGGTGCTTAGAGCCCCTTTAAAGATTTTATAACATATGTTAGCATATGAACTTACTCTATCTTCTTTTCTTTTGGTGAACCAGACATTGATTACTTTTTTTGTTTGTTTTTGTTTTGTTTTTTAGCACTGTCAATCAGTGACTTCTTCTCATAACGAGTCTCCAACATTTTTAGCAGAACGCATGGCAAACGTACGAAGGAGACGCCAGGATAAAAGGCAGCTGTAAGAGACTGTGCTGTGTATAGACTTTCCTCTTAGTGTAGCTCAAATATATTTGACAAGTAACATCTTTTGGTTATCTTGCATTACAGGGATGGAGTCACAATGAGGAATCGTTTGGTGACATGGAAGCCATCAGATGAGTTCATAAAAAATAATCACATCATTAATACTCCAGTTCAGACCATGTATATCATGGCAGATCTAGCTCCAAGTGGAAAGTGAGTAATATCTTAAGTTGATGTAGAGCTATAAGTTCCCCAAAAAACTGTCAAAGGTATACATGTGCCTAATTGCTTTACTTGACAGATGCAGCAGAATTGAGAAATTCCTTGCACTCCAGGCTCCAAATATTTTTTTGGGTGCTGTAAGCCAAGGGCTCAATATCCAAATAGTGATAGGCTAGCACTCACTGTCTTTGGTATTTAAAAGTTTTCTTACATTATTGGTAAATAATTAAAACATGTAGATCAGCGTTTCAGTCCCCTTCCGGGACTTTCCTTTAGGATCATAGAAAACACACAATTTTGGCAAAATAATTAGAATAAATGATCTTACCACCTGGATCGTGCCCCCTTCACGGCTGTGTGCAGTGCACGTGCGTGAGCGTCAACAGTGTACGTGCCGTGATGGCCTTCCTAATGTTGCAAAATAAATGCTCTGTTTAGCGGTTTTGAATTTTGTGACATAATTTGCTCTTTGCAATGTTTTTCCTATAACTTACAGAAAATTATTTAAATCATGGTGACATGAAAAATTTTAACATTTTAGACTGACTATTGAGGGTTTTTGTATTTTTTTTTTGTGTAGTTTCATCAGTTGTGTAGAATTTCTTATATTATAAATTATTATAAGCAAAACTATAAAGTGTGTTCTCCTTTGGATACATATATGTTGTCTGACCTGTCCTAAACAAAAAAAGATTAATGTCTTCATGGGGACGCGAGGGAATACAGACACAAAACAAACACATAGCAAAACATGTTGGTGTTTAATATTTCATATCTTGACCCAGGTAGTTAATGCATGTTCTTTCTGTCCAGCCATGGTTGCAAGGAGAATGAACATGTTCTGTGTACTATCCGTGTTGATGGTAATGGTGTCATTACACTGAAACCTGATGTCACTGGCTTGAAAGGGCCCTACAGGTAAGCCTAGCTGGTATAAACCAATTATTTTCTGCGTTGTAAACGTTTACAAACTATACATTTAATTAATGCATTTCTTTTTCTTAATTTAAAGGGGTTTTTGCTTTCTAATGTTTACATTGATGCCACTATATAAACTTATTTTTATATAGATAGTTAACTGCTGTCATTTTGTTTGACGTATTGGTACAGTACATTCTAAACTGCCTTCTTGATACACATCAGTGCATTAACCCATGTGATGGATGATGTAAGATAAATCTGATTACAAAACTAACAATCCCCTTGTCACCATAGGTTGGAGGTGGAAGGCCACAAGCGAGAATTGTGGAAATACACATTGCAGCATGTCTCAGAGTCAGTACACCAAGAAGAACAGGAGCGAGAAAGAAATATATACAATGATGTAAGTCAAAGTTTAAAGGAATACAAAAGCTGTATTCCTAACACTATAGTTTCCCTCTGCACACTGTGGTCCCACACTGCTGGCTCTGTCGTCACCTCCAACGTCTGCGCGAGGGGAAACCTACTGCACATGATCATCAAGCACTGCATGTGCATTAGGACTTACCCATAGGAAAGCATTGAATCAGTACTCTCCTATGGGCATTGGTTAGATGCTGAACATCCTCATGCAAATCAGAGTTAAGCTCTATGAAAAGCCAAGAAGCACCTACAGAAGCCACTGGAGGCAGTCTTAACCCTGCAGTGAAAACATTGCAGTTTCTCTAAAACTGTAATGTTTTCAGCTGCATGGTTAAGGGGACAGGGACACTGCAATTAGACCACTTCAATGAGATGACTAAAATGCCTATAGTGTGTCTCTATGGATTAGAAGTCTTTAGACATTTAGTATAAATGAATTTTAAGTGGAAGTTACAAATGCATCAACTGCAATGAATCATTTGTTATATGTCAATCCGTTCTTCTGAACTCAACCTATAGCACCCACAGTGCATGCGCTCTGGTTGCTATGGTAACTTCCTAACCGGCCCTGCTAGAGTTGATTAGTAAGCGTAGGAACAGAGCTCTTCCCAAGTAATTTGTGAAGACCGTGGGAGTAGCTTGGGCGAACTGGAGATTGGTGTTTCAGAAGCGGCAGGGGAGCAAAGAGTCAGGTAAGTGCCTGGCAGGTTCTCTTTAAAGATTTTTTTTTTTTTTGTTTGTTTGGGTTTTTTTTTTTTTAAATAGATTTTTATTAGGAATGTCAGTGAACAAGGGTAAAAATTTACAAATATTATTATTCATCATGAGAAATTAAACAAGTTTACAGTATGGAAAATTATAAATAATCAACATATCCCAAATACTTATTTATTTTATGCTAAAAAAATAATAAAAAGAAAAATAAAGAGATCTGGACAGTTGTCAAAATTCAAAACTCCTCCCCAGTCTTTAGAAACGCTTGAGAGGAGCAGGTACACTAAAGAGTCATGCTGTATTTGGTTTTACAATGTTCAACAGTCCAAAACGTTTAAAAAGACATATCCGAGTCTGGAGAAGAGAAAGTAAAACCAGAAGAAAATGGAAACCTATGCATTGCATTTAAACGTATGTGCCCACTCCTCCTCCCAGGGAATAGACAACCCATCCAGAAATGCATCTAGTAAAAGACAAAGTGCTGGTTGGGATCAAGGGGCTGGTACCAAGACTTCGCAATAGGGCCATAATCCATGAACGAAAACATGTCTGGTAAAGGAGAATACTAGCGGGACTGTAGAACCTAAACCTAACCTCAGATAAACAGCAACAAGTTGTCGACATCACAGTGTGTCCCCCTCCCGTCCAACTTCCACCACAGCAGAATGAGTATGAAAAGATGGCTATTGACTCAAGCCATGTCTCGCAAAGGGTAACATCCCGCCACCACCTCTGTGTACTCCGGGGTTGCTCTAACCTTAGATTGGAAGGAGTTGTCCAAGGTGGGAATGTAAAATTTCCATGTTTGGAAGAATTTATTAACTAAGATTTTGTCTGTTGGTCAAAGTTTATTTATTTTTTTATTTTTTATTTATTTGTTAAGAATAGAGATAAATCATATGTACACTGGGACACTACAGGCACCCAGACCACTTCAACTCATTAAAGTGGTCTGGGTGCAATGTCCCTGTCAGTTTAACCCTGCAATTGTAATTATTGCAGTTATTGAGAAACTGCATTGATTACATCGCAGGTTAACTCCACCACCACTTGAGGCACTTTCTGGTCGTTAGGCGACTTTTGGTTGCTTAACTGATGGTGGATGTCTTCACGCTATGCATTAATTCAATGCTTTCCTTTGGGGTTGTCCTAATTCGACCGCAGCACTAGCTGCACATGCACATTAGGCCCTGACGAAGCGCAGAGGCTGAGCCTGACCCAGAGTTGAAGGACATCGGCTCTGGATTCAGGTAGGTAAACTAAGGGGTTTTACTGTAGGGTACTACAGTATTCCTAGCCTATAGTTTCCCTTTGAGTAGTAAGCAGTAGTGTTGTTTTTTTTGTGTGTTTTTAGTTTAATCCAGGGGGAAAATGTGTTTATCCCTGGAATAAATGTGATAAATTAAAGTTTGAAAGCAAAGATAATGACTGTTGTACTTTATTCCCCAGCTGTACAACCGACACAAGGAGTACCTGAACAATCTGGTGGGTTCTGAATTTGAAATGGTAAGTGAAGCAAATTTATATTCTCTTGTTCATTTCTGTTTTACTCTAGTTTGTACCGTAAACACTCTCTAGATTCTTCTTTATTGAGTGATGGAAAAGAGCACTAAAATGCCTCGAATTAAGGGCAAACTGTCACTTCTTAGGAATTTACACCATTGAAAATAACTTTGAAAATCACCTCTAACTTGTTTAATATGATGCTCTGTTTCCTTTAGGATTTAAAGGGACACTACAATCACCAAAACAACTTTAGCTTACTGACGCAGTTTTGGTGTATAAACCATGTCCCTGCAGTCTCACTGCTCAATTCTCTGCCATTTAGGAGTTAAATCACTTTGTTTATCAACCCTAGTCACACCTCCCTACATGTGACTTGCACAGCCTTCCTAAACACTTCATGTAAAGAGTCATCTAATGTTTATCCTTCCCTTTATTGCAAGTTCTGTTTAATTTAGATTTTCTTATCTCCTGCTATGTTAATAGCATGCTAGACCCTGCAAGAGCCTCCTGTATGTGATTAAAGTTCAATTTACAGAGAAAGAGATACAATTGTTTAAGGTAAATTACATCTGATTGAAAGTGAAACCAGTTTTTTTCATGCAGGCTGTGTTATTCAGAGCCAGGTGAGGTGTGGCAACGGCTGCATAAACAGAAACAAATTGATTTAACTCAACTAAATGGCAGTGATTTGAGCAGTGAAACCTGAGAAGCATGATCTATACACTAAAACTGCTTCATTAAGCTAAAGTTGTTAAGGTGACTATAGTGTTCCTTTTACTAATGATGACATAATTTAGTTCACAAAAGGCATTCCAGGGGCACAAAAGACAATTTCCAAATTGCAAATGAAGAGGAGCAATAATTTCTCATCTTCTCTATTTCTGTGTCTGCTGTTGGCCAGATGCAAAGGACAGAGCTTGACACTGATTGGCAGTGAAACAAGTTGGAGGCACCCATTTGTTGGATAAAGAGGTGTGGATTTCTACATTTAACGTTATATTTCACACCTTACAAAAACATTGTTGTTACATATAGGGATAAGTAAAGTTGATATTAAAATAAAACCTTTTCTTTTAAATGATGCAAAAGATCTCTTTTAAAGAAAGTATAACACTGGGGGACAAAAAGGGGGAAACAAATGTAAAAAAATAAATAAAAATATTTGAGGTCTCCACCAGTACAATTAAAATTGGGCAGATTAAAGCTTGTTAATGCAGGAACAATACTACATAGCATTTTCTTTTAGTTATTATTCTGTTCCTTGTGGGGGTGGGAGGTGGGGTGGCAGGTTGGAGTTTTATGTGCCAGCAGCCAATCGTCCCTATTTATATAACCTTTGATACAGGGTACCTTTTTAGAGTTGAACCTTAAAATATCTAGGCCTGGTTTATAGTTATCTGTTTATCAGAGTTATGCTTTCTGCTGATAGTACCCAACATATAGATCAATACTGATATTTTGTTGAAATTGGACAAATATGTGCTTAACCCTAACATTTCTGTACATTATTAATTATATTCTCTCTTCTCTTGTTCCTATTTATAGAAATTGCATAGTTTCATATATATATATATATCTATGCAACTTCTAAAATTGTGTGTGTGTGTCTATATTTAGAGTTGTGGTGGGGGAAAAAAGTGTGGATGAAAACCCCTTCCACCTGAAGTAAGTGGATAGTTAATACATAGCTAAACACAAATACACACACCAGTCAAGCCATGAGACTTGCTTTTCCCACAGAAATCTCACTTTAACAGTGCTCTCACTACTGCCAGGGATTCTGGGTAGGCGTATGCAAATGAGCATTTGCCTCATAATTCCACGTTGTACATGGATTCCTTGAAGTATGTGTCTGCTATATACAACAGCTTACTTCAGGTGGAAAGGGTTTTTATCCACACATTTTCCACACCACAACTCTTTTGGTTTGTACTTTACAAGTAACCGCAAAGCCTCCATAGCAAGCCAGTAAGCAGTCTCATGCTGATATGTGTGTGCGTGTGTATATGTATGTATGTGTGTGTGTATATATGTGTGTGTGTATGTATATATATATATATATATATATATATATATATATATATATATATATATATATATATATATATATATATATATATATATATATATATATTTTATAGCATTTAACTATTTAAATCTTCTCACAATATAGGCTCCTGTCGGTACTCTGCGCCTCTTTATTAATGGAGAAATTGGTGAGTGTATTCCAATTTACTATTCTGTAACCTGTGCTAGCGTTCTTAGAGTAAGTAAGTAAGTACCTACTATTTATGTATTTTCTTTCAACCCAGTCTCTGCGCAGAAATATGACTATGATAATCTTTATATACACTTCTTTATGGAGCTGCCCAAATGTAAGTACTTACTGCATTTTTCAGTATTTCTTTATCTGTAGTCAAGAAATTTATTGGTGTTTTTTCCTCTCTTAGCGATCAGTGATTTGTAGTGAATGGAACACTATTTAGTATAATTCAAAACAAATTGAGCCATACTGAAAATATAGGGGATTTTCCCAACTCTGCTATTTTTGGTCAAATTGCGCTTGTTTTTCAACCTACCCTTTCAATTTAGAAAATAAAGCTCTTAATTCGGTATGCTTTCTTGTACTCTTAAAAAAAAAAAACATTACATCCTGTGCAGACATTTCTACTACAATTAGTGCTTGTGTAATGATCCTAAAAATAATGTAAAATAATTTAGCTAGGAAAATACATTTTAAATTTCACAGTTTTCAAATGAGTCTGAGGTTATTGATGGGGTGCCAAATTCACCTGATAGTACCCTAACCTGCAGTTACAATAAGTAATGGGGATTTTGCAACTGAAGCATTAACTACTGAGCCATCTTGTTAGCCTGCTCATATGTTTCAACTAATTAAGAAGTCCATTTATTTTTCTGTCTGTTTATTTAGTTCTGCCGTCGGCTATCTATTTTATTTTCTTTTACTTTGTAGACTGGTCAAGTCCTGGCTTTCAAGAGCTCTCGGGAGTCACCCACAGCTGCAAAACCAAAACCCATAAAAGGGTATGTTGCAACATGATCTGAGCCAACTTTGCTGGTTAGCCAGATAAACTACACTGGACTATTTGTATCATAGATTCAAGCAGTCTGTGAAATTAATATCTTGTAGTTAATTTCAGACCTGTATATATTTTTTGATTTGGAAGTTTATCCAATAAGAAGAATTAACCAATGGGTAATGTGTATACCAAGTCTTAATAAGGATTTGACTACTAAACTCTCAGGCTGAAAATGTGACACCTAGACAGAGCAAGGGTTGTTTAGCGGAACTCCCTGTACCCCGGCTTGGTACCTCTGCCAAGGACCACTTCCTAGCTGGAACAGGGAAAAACCTCAGTGCTTCTTCCCCAGTCGCCGTGGCTTGACTGGCGTCCTCCTGGAGCATCTCCGTCCTGGAGCAGGATAGGGGACTATCTTTAAGCCCTCACAGGGACTGGACGACACACAGTCCTGGGAGCTGTAGTCGTTACAAGGAATTTCCCCACTGAATCCTCCAGGAGCTGGAACAAGGTGCTAAGCAGTGATTAACTTGATGACACATAGCTCTGGGAGTACAACTGTTTTAATGCATCCAAATGCAGCCTTTTTATACACAGACCCCAGCAAGTGGTCTCTGTTGTATTCAGCTCAAGCCCCTATCAGGAATCTCTGGGCCTGGGAGATAATTGCATTAAAGACCAGTAAGCTAATTATTTCCCAGGAACAGAGAGGCAAACTTACAACTATAAAACCTAAAAATACCCCAAAACATAATAAAAATATAAAATAACCCTACATATAATACATCATTAAATAGCCCTGATTTGAGCGCCCACATTCTCCAAATAGCGCTCAGATCCATGCAGTGTAGAGGAAACACAACCGTATTAAATTTCTGACCGGCTGCACACGTGGTCCTATGCCCAAAATAGTTCCAGGGTGCTTTTTGCAAGTCAATGTTCAGGAGCTCCTGTGGCCCTAATACAGGGTACTCTGCCTGGCTGTTAGGTAGCGTTTGTTCCCCTTAGTCTCAGACACTTTCCCTCCAAAAAGCGTCGTTCTGGTGAAAAGTGGTTCAAAACCGCGAACCAAATTGTTGGGGAACCGTACGGTCACCTCATGCCGAAAACTGTTCCATAACATTTGTGACTAAGTCCCGCTGAGGTGACCGGGAACCCACGAAGCCCTCATGCCAAATTTAGTTCCATAGCAGTCGCGGCTAAGTTTTTGGGTTTGGTCCATGTGAAAGTCCGCCCGAGAGCCAGCGTTCGGTTCCATTTGCATGAAGGGAAAGTACCGAACCATGGGCACCCAGGGAAAGCTGTTAATGGCGGCTGGGGAGAGTAACTCCCAAATGGTGTCCCAGACCTAGACCATAGTCGGTGGACAGGAGACCGACACTCCTCCAGGAGTCCGTGGAAAACGTACGTGAGGAGGAGCGTTGTCACAGGTTGTAAGACTGTTTGCTGTTTTATTTAAGATTAACATACAAAAAGGGCTATGGTACAATTTAATACACTGGAATACAATAGTCTGTTTTCTTTATGTAGGAGAACATTGCATACTTCTGTCATCCCTTCAGTTTTGAAGTATTCCTTTCTGAGGAGGTGGCATCTGAGGGTAAGTTGACAGATACTGAATCCTTCCTATCCCACATGGAGTGCATTCAGTAAACAGGTATTTATTGCTGTTTCAGACATCCCACAGTGGCCCGTTCTGTACTTTGAGGTTCTGTCACTGGATTTTTGGCAGAGATATCGAGTGGAAGGATATGGATCTGTTGTTTTACCGGACAGACCTGGTACGTATGACACCAGAAGACATGCATTGACCAGGGCTCGAAATTTCAATTCTCTACTAGCCATTGATGAATGAAAATTTAGCCTTGGTGGCTAGAAATTCACCCCCATATGAGTGTACCGCGGACTGTCCAGACTTGGCTTGGTTAATAGTGTAGGACTGCCCTGCGTTAACCATATGAAGTGTGTAGATATGCACTGTATATTTGGCTTCTTGGATTGTTCGGTAGTATTTAACTAATTTATGATTTGATCAACGTTTAAGTTATGATTTGATACTCCGTAGAATGTCATGCTTATATAGATATATCATTTTTTAAGAATCTTGTGAAATGGTAACTAAACACGCTTTTAGATGGAGCAATGTTCCTTTTTGGTGACCATCACAGATAACCTGAATGTAATAATACTTATTCTGTACTCAGGAATGCATACTGTCACTGCTCATACGTGGCGGCCTGTGGAATTGGGAACCATTTCAGAGCTCCGAAGGTTTTTCATAGGCGGATCTCCAGAACTGGAGGACATGTCCTATACCAGAATCCCAGGAACCTTTCAGGTGAAGCACGTTTTCTTCCTCTCTACATCGAAGAGCAAATGTGTGTAGAGGACGGGATATTTTGTATAACTCTTTCTTTATGTAAATAGTCAAAGACCACATGCTGAATGTGAAGTGATGAGTTGGCCAGTTCACAACATTTTAAATAGCCATTTTAATTTGAACAGCCACATTTTTAAGCTGGAACCAGTTCTATGTTTTCAACCTGGGAGATGGGTATTCATGTCTGTAATCTTTAGTCAGCAGATCTGGTTTTCCGTACAGTCTTCCCCACTGTCTTAGGCTAAGCAAATTGTAACCTTGGGGTAGTGCACACTGTTCTTGCAGATGTGATACATGGTATTTAATTTTCATGTTTCACAAATAACACCACTGTATCCCAATTTAGCAGTAATATCATCACTTGGTTCTCATATGTGTATGACTGAACGCTAACCTTAGATCCTGCAATTCCTATGGATTATATTGCCGTTTATTCTCGGCCAACAATTCACCTCATCGTTGGAAACCTAGTCTTTTACAGCCACCGCATCAAAGACTAAACCAGCAGCTAGTGAACTACCTACCACTAACTACTAGTGTACCAGCAGCTGAGCTACCAAGTGCATTAATGGATACATTACTATCCTCCCTTGCTATTAGACATTTTAAACCTATCTGACAGTGTGTGCATTCAAATATTTGCAGAGGGAATCTGTGATGTAGTTTATTAAGGCTCAGTGCTGTTTTCTGTCCACAGGGCAATCGCCTCAGTCGATTTGGCTTCAGGACAGAGACAACCGGAGAAGTAACATTCAGATTCAATTGTATACACCAATCGCGGTATGAGTAAATCTGTTTCTTTAAACTCTGCAGTATGTTAAAAAATTATTTTTCTATACGTTATTGGTTTTATTGAAATACGTTTAGTAGCCTGCCGATGAATTACTCCTGAGATTAGCTACTATACTACACCTTCATCATGATGAGAGTTGTTGTTTAGTAACAACTGAAGATCACTTTATGCAAAATTATTGATTTTGTTTTTTATAATTTTTTTTTATTTTTTATAAATGGCTTGCATTTTGCAAAACTGGCATCCCAGAGCAGCTCGTTTTGTAGGTACTAAATTCATGGCTTACAAAATTTAATATTTCATTCCGACTGCTACTTTTTAACGGCCTTGCTTTTTAATGGGGTGAAATGTACTGCTCATTCTAAGAGGCACCATAGCAACTACATAGTCCTTAATTTTTTATATTGTCAAACTGTTTTGAAGTACTTTGACAAAAGTCAGTGTTTTCCTCTGCATTTCTACCCTGCTGCTCCCTCTTCAGTCACAATGATACTGTTCAAGCTACACTTCTGCATTATAAAGTGTTAATCTGTCCAACCTGAGAACTCAACAATGCTCACTTATATTTTTAGCCTTGCCATATTTGGTCCTGCATTGCATAGTTCGTGGGGTTTTTTTTTTTTTTTTTTGAACCCTGTTTAGTTGAAAAACATGCATTGTATTAGAATGCTAAAGCTAATATTTGTCACTTCAAATTTGGTGAATTACATATCCCATGATGCTCCGCTGATTGAGCCTCATGGAACCACCACAGTTCACCCTAACTGGAGTGTTAATGGTCATAGCACTGTATATGTGTAATTTCAAACCACTTCATTTTAACCTCCCTTCCCCACACACCTCTGTATACTGTGTATTCATTAGTAGGATACACTTTTTTTCTTTGATTCTCTGAGCAGTGACTTATCTTCATTAAAGTATGTGTTGCTTTGCAGATCTTTCCTTGACAATAGCTCTCTGAGGAAAAGGATGCAGAGCGTGTTGGATCGTCTAGGAGGCACCAGCCAGCAAAGCTCCATTCACAATGTCCTTGGTACGTGTTCCACATCAGTGGATTTGAAAACTTTCTTTTTATAGCACAGGCCCACCTGGTGGTAAACTGTTGGATTGCAGAATAAATTCTGCTAACACAAATTGTTGACCATCCAATCCAATGTAGAAATCTAGGTTCGTGGATCCATACTGACCCTATTGTTCTCAGAGCATAGCTGCCTGGCAACGGCTAGGATTAGACATTCATTTAAACAGGATCTTAGGTTGTGAAGTGCTTTATAAAACTAATCTTTATAAAATGCCTACTTTGTACAGTTCCAATAACAAGTTCTAGAATGTAATCTCAGTTGCTAACTTTAGGGCTGCTGTGTTCTAGACTACCTGACCTTTCTCCATGAGCTTCAAGAGGAAGCATGTATAAAGGGCATTGCTGTAGCCCGAACATATTGAGATAATGGTGTATCAGGGATTGCCAGTCAGGTGGTACCAAAACTGGGATATTTTATAAAGCAGCCTTCCCCAAACTCCGGCCCTCCAGATGTTGCTGAACTACAACTCCCATGATTCTCAGCCTATCTATTTAATACATAGAATCATGGGAGTTGTAGTTCAGCAACACCTGGAGGGCAGGAGTTTGGTGAAGCCTGGTAACCTTTCCTAAGTGGCCTTAAATTAGAGGGACAAAGGTTTAAAAATAATATCAGGAAGTATTACTTTACTGAGAGGGTAGTGGATGCATGGAATAGCCTTCTAGCTGAAGTGGTAGAGGTTAACACAGTAAAGGAGTTTAAGCATGCGTGGGATAGGCATAAGGCTATCCTAACTATAAGATAAGACTAGGGACTAAAGAAAGTATTTAGAAAATTGGGCAGACTAGATGGGCCGAATGGTTCTTATCTGCCGTCACATTCTATGTTTCTATATTGAGTAAATCTGCTTCTAAACACACAGTATATCATGTGTCTGCAATATTTCATGAATCTAGACAGGTCATGAGGGTTAGTTATCAAAGGACCACTAAAGTCACGCAGACCACTTCATCTCAATGTAAAAACAGTGTTTACCATGCAGGGTTAAGAAAGCCTCTAGAGCAAGCATAGGCAACCTTCGGCACTCCAGATGTTTTGGACTAAACCTCCCATGATGCTTTGCCAGCATTATGGGTGTAAGAGCATTATGGAGGATGTAGTCCACAACATCTGGAGTGCCGAAGGTTGCCTACCCCTACTAGAAGCTGTCTTCCTTACAGCCTCTTGAGATGTTTCCATCTCTGAGAAACAACTGACGAGAATCTTATGCATGCAGGGAGTTTTGTCACAAAAGAGAGAACCTCCGTAATGCCTAGCCGCAATTTTGTGGGTGAAAATCCTTATTAAAAAAGGTCAAAAGAAAAGTGCAAGGCTTATTAAAGCTTACATGTCACCTTCCGGAATAACCTTTAAGATTGTTATTTTCGGAGAGATACCTCTGAATGCAAATAGAACAAACCCCCACATAGGAAGTTTGTCTCGCCCAGGAAATACAAATATCAAAACAGAATCCAACATGCATTTTATTCATTTAACTGAATGTTTCAGAGAATAGGTTAAAATAGCAAAGACACAAAATAGGTAAGTTGGTATTTTATTCATTATTTTGGACAGAAATAGGAAGTTCTGTCAGTCCTCCACAATCCCCAATACAGTGACTAAACAAATGTGTATGTCATGTGAAAAGTGCACCCAAACATTACCCTGTCTAGACACCATAAGGTAGGACACACATGTGAAATGTGAAAACAGAGTTAATTGTAGAACAGTGACCCCTAGCGAGGTTATGTGGTTTAGCATGTAAGTGTAGATCAGAGAAATGAAAGAACCGTGGATAGAAGACATAAACAAATTTAACGTAAGCGTAGGATCAGTTTATTTGAACACATTAAAGATGGGAAAACAGAGGAGAGTTCCTCAGTGCCGAAGGAGCCCGGCGCTGGAGAAAGGTAAGTGGCTTAGGTGAGGGTGGGTGGGGGCCCTAATGACCCTATAGTGCCATTGAGGCATGAAATGTTGCTGTTCCCCTTTGGTGAGTCCCAGTCTAAATTTGTTTTTGTTTTTTTCAATTTGACAATTTTTATTAGATTTTTGAGGGGTATAGAAAAGAAAGAGGGATTATTAAAGTGAAAATAAAATTCTTTAATGACATTTCTAAATTCCGTGTATAACTTATTATACACCGTGTAGGAGATCAACACATGAAGTCAAGATGCTGTTTTGGTTAGCATTGTAAGTTTCAGTTGGCTGCGTTACTAGTGGTCAGATATTCTGAGGTGACAATTGCTTTGTAGTGTCGTTTAGTGCAATGGTTAACATCCTGTTTTGCAGAGGAGAATGTACTGGTTTAGTACAATTTTTGGTCTAATGTCTGGACTAGCTGTGTCTGTTGGTTCGGAGGCATCTGGCCAAGCGCGGCCAAAAACATCAATAGTATCTCCTCTCTACGACGCTTGCACTTGTTTGAGCTTACCTCACTGGGACTAGGTACCAGTGGTACTGGTTCCATATGAGTGCTTGTGTGCGCCATGAAAGCTTCCCTCCGTTGCTTAGTAGGGAATTCCTTATGTAAGTCTTACTGCCAGGCTTTCAAAGCTTTTCCTGTGTGAGCCTTCCTGAGAGTTAAGTATCTCATAGATGGAAGAGATTACTTTTTGGCTGGGAGAGCACAAAAAAAGCACATTTTGTCACATTTTTTTAAGGTAGGTGGTTTAAATGTCTTCGTAGTCTATTGCAGGTGAGATTTGAGTTGAAGTTAGGAGAAGATAGCCCTATGAGATATTCCAGTTTGGAGTTGTAACTCTGGAAATGGTTTCAATTGTGTACCGTTGTACAAGTGGTAAGCATGTGTGCAGCTTTGATTGTGCCATGTCTTGTACATGGCTGTACAGTGGTGTGGCTAAGGAATACGGGTCCCTGGTGCTTAATGTGTGTCATGCTGCATCCCACGTGGGGAGGAGCAGGGTGGAAGTGTCAAGTATTAGCTGTGTCTTGGGGCAAGCATGCTATGGTGACCAGAATAGGTACTTCAAACCAGATTTATGTGCCCAGTATGACTCTATTTCGACCCAGTAAGGGTTTGCTACAGTATTGTGTCCAGTCATGAGGTAGGACGGCAAGGTAGCTTTGTAGTAGAGTTTCACGTTGGGTAACCCCGTAAGCAACAGGGTTTTGTTGAATGCTAGTGGCCATCCTAATTTTCTTGTCTGCCCATATGAATCTGACTATGGCTGTTTGTAAGCTGTGCAAGAAGTTTTTGGGAAGGGGTATTTGCAGTGATCTTAGTAGTGATTGGTACTTGGGTAGTACGCCAATCTACCGTGCCAAGACAAGAAGCCTCCCTCCCACAACTGGAATGTTTCTTGAAATTCCTGTATTAGTTGTTCGTAATTATGTTTGAATAAGGTTTGTGCTGCTTTGGTGATCCATATACCTAAGAATGTTAAAAAGTCGTCTCTCTAGTCAAAGGAGAAAGCCCCCCTCAAAGTAACGACAGTTGGATCCCAGTCTAAATTGTAATACTAAACAAAGAAGTAAAGGTCATTTTTTTACAATTTTCTATTACGCTGCTGGTTGTGGGTTATTTTTCCTTCTGATCGGTCTGTCCATTGGGCATAGCAGAAATGCTAAAAGAGAAGCTGCCCATAATCTGTCATTTAAATTCAGGTCACACACTGCAACTGACCACTCTGGCCCCTTGACACTGAAGCATATGAGTAATGGCTTGATATAAGTGCATATCGTGAGTGTACATGATGTTTGCACATATGTGGAGATTAACTTATTTTGTCTACTGCCTTTCTATAGAGAGGACTAATTTATATTCTATTTCTTGTCCATTTTCGGTTTTGTCTGAGTTAAAAGGATGGTGAGTAATTCTAGTCTGCGTATACATACCAAATGGTTACAATACAAGGTTTTATTGCCACTTTACTTAAAAAAAACAAAAAAAAAAACAACCCTAAGAAATAACATATTACCATATTACCAACACTAAGACAATAAAAGGCTTAACGCAGGGGTTCCCAAAAGGTAGATCCCCAGATGTTGTAGAACTACAACTCCCATGATGCTTTGCATACCTTTTAGATTGGATGCTGTAGTTTTAAAACATCTGGGGATCTACCTTTCGGACACCCCTGGTTAAAAGGAACCACTGCTTCTGGAGACAACCGTAGAACAGGTGGCTGAATTCTAATAGGATCCTTTGTCTCTGTCCAAAGTATTTGTGTATAATGTATACTTCATTCAAGTTCAACATAGAGTAGTGACACCTAGTGGCCATTTTATTATAGTAAAGTGCAGTATACTATGTGGTTGCATGTCAGGGATAGTCACTGTTTATGCTGCAGTGGATATTCAAAGTGAGTAAGTACTACTGACCTCTTGTGGCCATTGATTATACCAACTGTAATGTTGTTTACAGAATGGTTGAACACAATGTGTGTCATACTCTATGGTTTTAGGAGTATATTGACCCGGCTTTTCAATATGTATTTGTTATTTGAAAACCTAAATTAATGAAATCTGAATTTTATGATGTGTTTTTGGTCTATTAATTGTATTTAGGAGTTATTTTAAGCCATAGGTAATAGATGTAATATCATGAGAACCTTTTGTAACAAACCCCTTGTACTTCATATAGTACTTTCTTTCACTCACTCCCAAACTGCTAGAGGCTTGAGTGATTATAGCCTGTTTGCATAGTACGCTAGTTCGTATTCTCCTGAAACCCAAGCAGGTCATTGGGGAAAATCCAGCCCTTCATCGTTCGCATACCCAAACATCAGTAGTGACTTGATGAAGGGTACAACTGGAATGTTTTATTATGGCCAGATGGCCCCCTTTTTTACACCGACCCTCAGCATTGGGTCTCCAGCAAAAACATAGTAAAACACGATCAGGCGTCTCTGTGTCTGGGAGATAATTGAGTGTACTTTGCTTAAACTATCTCCCAGGCACTAGAGGTAGAAAATATAAAACCTAAAAGACCCTAAAACATTTATAATATTACCAGGGAACCCCAGGAGTCCTATATCCTCAGATAGCCTGGATCTGAGTGCTTAAAGTGTCCAAATAGCGCTCAGATCCCACTAATACAGCCGAATCGCTACCGGGGTAAAGTTTTGACCGACCGCACACATGGAGTCTGCCCAAAATAGTTCCATGAGAAAAGTGGTAGCTGTCGGTCACTTTTGGTAGTCCCAAAATATCGAACGGTTTCCCTGGCTCGTGCATACCTTTTCACCGAACGGCGCTCTCCTGGCTTTTCAAGAATAGAAACAGGCATTGGTACAAAGTTACCAGTGTTCGCAGGTTAGAGTGTCCGGCTTAGAGTTCCAGAGACTCAACGACCAAGTCCTGCTGTCGGAAGACAAGATGGCCGTTTTCCAGTGCACGTGTTGTTCGGTTATAGGAACGGCGGCCGCCCAGTGAGAGCACTTACTCTTGTGGTTACTTTGAAGTTAAATGAGCCAGGGAGTGGTCGGTATTTGGTAGAGTAAACTACCGAATGCATTAAAAAAAAAGGGGGGGGGGACCAGGGAAATTACATGACTAGGACATTCTGACTCCTTCAATGATGAAACTGGCCAGTTCTCACAACTCAAGAAAGCAACCTGCACCGAGAGCTTAGTCACTCTATAGGTGCTGCAAGGAAGGATGATCAGAGAAAATGTAATCAGTAGCCCCCCGAAAGACTTTCAGGCCCCTGGCCTACATAAATAGTATGTAGTCTGTGATTGTTTTGGACTCAAAATGTGTAAGGTTTGTGGTTGTGGAGATGAATTGCAATTGGTTTTTTTTGCAACACATTGAAACTAATTTCATTGGTTGTGTTTTAGCATTAGATATTTGATTTTCCTGGGGAATGCAGGGCTGTAGAAGATTTCTATGCATTTTATTTTAATAAACTTCAAAAAAATGTTCAGTGCCTGTGGAATGTTAAGTGCACATTTCAACCAATGAATTTCTGGAGCATAATTTAGGTTTATGTGTGACAAACGTGCCAGTTTCATCGCCAGGGTTCCTTTTAACCAGGGGTGTCCGAAAGGTAGATCCCCAGATGTTTTAAAACGACAGCATCCAATCTCCCCAACCGCCATTAGTAGCTTGCCCTGGGTGCACCTGGTTCGGCACTTTCCCTTCATGCAGATGGAACCGAAAGCTGGCGGCCGTTCGCATGAACCAAACCCACGAATTGTCCTCAGAGGTACTTAGCCGTGATTGTTATGGAACCAAATTCGGCATGAGGACTTCGTGGGTTCCCGGTCACCTCAGCGGGATTTAACCGCAAATGTTGTGTATAAGCAGCATTTAATGCTAGTATTTTTATTTTGTTTATGTTCTATTTGATCCTATGATTGTAAACGTTGATAACGAGATCCACCTGTCCAATGCAATATTTAAATATACTCTTTAAGATTTATTAACACAGTATTTTATTTATTCTTCAGATGCCTTTCAGAGAGCTCGACGAAGAATGCAGCAGGCCAGAGAAAGCCTTCCTCAGGACATTCTGAACACCTCCCAGGCATCATTGCAGCAGTCGCAAGCATGATTATATCTTGATAGAGACTACATATTGAGGGGAATGTGGAGCTGCTTCAAAGAATCTCTTGGGCTGCAGAACTTGACCGAACTGACTAACATTTAATTCTGTTTGTGATCGAGTGGCTGTAATGCGTGCAGTGTATTTCCTAATTATAATCCCAAAGTCATGCATAAAGGTTCAACTTTTCTGCATTTCTCAAGTCATCTTATTGTGGACACCTAAGTTGAAGAAGCCTCATATTCAGTGTCTTCCAGCCCATCTGCTAATTTGCAAATCTTTCCATGGTGGTACCTCTGGAGTCCAATGTGAGATCTTTGTATTCTGCCACATAGTAGTATAAGATAAGTCATCCACAGTGCCCAGGTTCACTACTATGCCTTGTCCAGTGTAGGAAAGGGGGAAGATAATCTTTATCCATTCTAGACCACTGTGAGGGTGCTATTTGCCTGAGTCATAGCATCTACTTACCTTTCATTTTCGTTTCCATGCCCTCATGCTGTAAGTATGTAATTAAGTCAGCTGTAACAGTTCTTACTGAGTGGAGTCAAATCTTTTACTTGTTCATATCCCAATGCCAGGTTGTAGCTTCATGATTAGATGTGTATCTTTTTAAATGAATACATACTGATGGAATATGTATGGCCGCATAATAAACCTATTTAATAAAAAATCAAAAAAATCACTGCTTATGAGCTAGATTAAGGTAATATTGGTGGATTTAGAGCATATTGCCTTTTTAAAATGAATTCTATAGTGTTAGGAATACAAATCTGTATTCTTAACACTATAGAGTGCCGCCAGCAGCTAAAGGGTAAAAAAAAAACTTTAGAGGAAATTCAAATTGCGGAGGCAGCACACTTTGCTACTATCGGCATCAGTACCAAACATGTAGAAAGGTGGCAAACATGGTTAATGTTCAAGGCGGAACAAGACGGGGATCCCGGGGGACTTGAGGAATGGGTAGAGGGGATTGATGGTGGACTGGGGGGGGCATCCATTATGCCTTGGGGCCATGCTCCCTATTTGGTCTGAGTTTTTGAACTCCTACACTGTCACTCCCTCTTCCCATTTTTTTTTTTTTTTACATTCTTTCTCTTCTTCTCGCACCTCTCTCTCCTTCTATCAATTTCTAATTTCTATTTAGACACGCCCTACAGACTTCTATCCCGGTTAGAACCGGGGAGAAGAAATCATTTCTAAACTCTCGTAAGGAATCTGCTATACCTTAATGGCCCAGAACAGCCTTGCCTTAAATTTGAATCACACTAAATATGCACACATGGGTAGCGGGCGAAGGGATCCCTCCATATGGTAACCCCTTTGTACTGTGCAATTGCGGGGAGCCTTCCCCCCCAATAAAGGGAACGAGGTACATCAAAGCGGCCTCACTATCAGACCAGCTGTTTTAAAAAAAACTTTGCCACTTCTCTAATACTACACTGGTTGGGGTATGCTATACACCTCTCCACCTTTGACAGATATTGGCATTAGCATTGTGTAATGTGTTATAATGTCTTTGCATTGATGACCTGCGTGTCTTATGAAGTTCTTCCCTTTTGTACTCTGACTATTGGTAATATATGCTAACGCCAGGCTGATCTTTCTCACCCATCGCTCCTCCCATACCTCGCCCCTCTGTCGATCCTTACACTGGCTTCCTGAATCCTATAGGTGTCAATTCAAAATACTAACCCTTACCTATAAAGCTCTAACCAACTCTAGCCCCTATTACATTTTTCCCAGATTCATAGAGATTCCCCTTCTCTGTCTCTCCGCTCTGCCGGTGACCTAAGGTATCTATGCTTTGGCCCAACACTAGCGTCAGGAACATACACATGTATTCCTGACACAATAGTGGTTAAAATTACTGTTTAGGTCACTGCCCCTCTCTTTACTTTAAAAAAATGATTTTACTCACTTTTTTTTTTCCCAGCCAGTCTTGCTGACTGCTCTCTCACCCCGTGGCTGAGATTGTTAAATTTGACAATGTGAGCAGATCCAATTCCTTCCTAAAGGAAAGTATTGGGAGGCTATTGCGCATGTGTGGCAAGAGGCCGCTATGTGCCAATTAAGCATTTTCTCATTGAAATGTCTTGAGTCTAGGGGCTGTCTGAGTGACTGTTACTAGAGGTATTACTAGGCAGCAATGTAAACACTGCCTTTTCCGTGAAAAGGCAGTATTTACATTAAAATGCCTGCAGGGACAATCTCTAAAGCTGAATTTGTTCTGGTTACTGTAGTGTCCATTTATATTTGAAATTCAGTGTGAATTTTCACTTTAGTAAAAATCCTGAGAGTGTGACTAAATCACAATTTTTACACAATATGTCATTTTAATTCATCTTGAAAGATTTGAAACTACTTGTGTGTTTGTTTCCCTTATTGTGCATTTAATTGACTGAAACACGACTAATAATGCTCCCCCTGTGCCCCCAAGCCCTCTGACAGGTCAGTAATGGTACAAGCATACACTATAAGAGAGCGCACAGGTAATATAAAATATACAATGAATAAAAGCAGCTAGATACTATAGAACCTTCCCAAGTTTCTAAAAACAGCAAGTACAAAAGTAAAAAGTATTAGCGTTTAGGCAATCTTCCCCTTCTAAAATATATCGGGGGGGGGAGAAAACATAACCAGTAAAATTACTGAATAGTGAGTCCCAAAATAAGAAATAGTTTTAAAAGTATATATTCCAGGATTGCAGGGGGTATGGTATAGATGACATAGAGTAGGGATCGACCGATTATCGGTCTGGCCGATATTCTGTATTTTCAGCAATGTCGTATTGGCCAATAAAGATGCCGATAAGTCAGACCAGGGCCGCTATCAGGGTCCTGGGGGGCCCATCACACTCTTACTTACCTTCCCAGCAGTTCCCTTCAGCTCCAGTCTAACTCTCGCGAGCTGAATGGAGTTGCCGGGCTTCCCAGGACCGTTGTGGGATCGCAGGGAATGTCATACCACACTCCAGGTAAGAAGTGTGGGGGGAGGGGGGGGGAGACGACTAAAATAAAATGCCCCGCCCCCATTTTACACACTCAACATACACTCTGCATTCATTATATACACAAACACACACTGCATCCACTACACAGACACTACACAAACTGCATCCACTATACACACACTACACAAACACACACTGCATTCATTATACACACACTACACAAACACACACTGCATTCATTATACACACACTACACAAACATACTCTGCATTCATTATATACACACTACGCAAACAAACTGCATCCATTATAAATACACACTGCATTAATTATACACACACTACACAAACACACTGTATTCACTACACACACTGCATTCATTATATACACACTAAACAAACCCACACACTGCATTCATTATATACACACTACACAAACACACTGCATTCACTATATACACACTACACAAACATACACTGCATCTACTACACACACACACTGCATTCACTAATCAAATACTCTCACTCTCAACCACACACACACACACACATTATTGAAAAGATAAAAAATTCTGACTGGCATGTATATTTTGTGTATTTATCTTAATAATTTGTAAATGTACAGAGTATCTATAAGTTATCGGCTATGGGCCTGAAAGTTCACAGATTATTGGCATTGGTATCCGCGCAAAAAAAATAAAATAAATCTATATCGGTCGATCCATAACAGAGTTCCTTAGTGTTACTATTTGGTTCCAATCTCCAGTCCAAGGGAATCTATGTAGCCACATTTTAGACAGGAAAGAAACCGATATAGTGTAACACTGTTAATTTAAAAAAAACAACAACAAAAAAACCTATGGAATCCCTTTGTAGAATTCTTACACGAAATAGTGGTGGTACTTATCGCGAAGGCCCACAAACCGGCATAAGTGCAGTACAGAAAGAAGGTTATGGCAGAGTTACCACTCCGTTGGTGTGATGTTGCGAGCTGCTTCTGTGCACTGGACCTCGTACACCTCGGGAGGTCATTCCGTCTCGTTGTACTGGCTTCCTAGCCTTTAGAGTTTGAAAATACCGCCAAAGCAATAAACCACAAGTTTCACCCGTGATACCGGGCTTTCTCATGAAAGGATGCCACAGATGCCACAGTGGAAATCTTGCAAATATATACCCTTTTCACCTCACATGTGAAAGTCCAGACAAATAAAAGTTTATAAAATCAACGTTTCAGTATTATACTTACACAGAAAAAAAATTAAAATCACATATGTTCATATAAACCTTGAGCAAACTTTTTATAAGAACATTTGTGATTTTAATTTTTTCTGTGTAAGGATAACACTGCAAATGTTGATTTTATGAACTTTTATTTCGGTATCACGGGCAAAATGTTTAGGTTTGTTGCTTTGGCGGCATTTTCAAACTCTGAAGGCTAGGAAGCCAGTACCATGTGACTGAAGGACTGCGTCCTCCCAAGGTGTACGAGGTCCAGGTCGGCTCCAGTGCACAGAAGCAACTCTCAACATCACGCCAACAGAGTAGTAACTCTGCCATCACCTTCATTCTGTACTGCACTTATCCCTGTTTGTGGTCCTTAGTGATAAGTACCACCACTATTTTGTGTAAGAGTTCTACAAAGGGATTCCACAGGGTTATTTGATTTTTTTTTTTTTTTAATAAAAAGTGTTACACTATACAGGGAGTGCAGAATTATTAGGCAAGTTGTATTTTTGAGGATTAATTTTATTATTGAACAACAACCATGTTCTCAATGAACCCAAAAAACTTAATATCAAAGCTGAATATTTTTGGAAGTAGTTTTTAGTTTGTTTTTAGTTATAGCTATGTTAGGGGGATATCTGTGTGTGCAGGTGACTATTACTGTGCATAATTATTAGGCAACTTAACAAAAAACAAATATATACCCATTTCAATTATTTATTATTACCAGTGAAACCAATATAACATCTCAACATTCACAAATATACATTTCTGACATTCAAAAACAAAACAAAAACAAATCAGTGACCAATATAGCCACCTTTCTTTGCAAGGACACTCAAAAGCCTGCCATCCATGGATTCTGTCAGTGTTTTGATCTGTTCACCATCAACATTGCGTGCAGCAGCAACCACAGCCTCCCAGACACTGTTCAGAGAGGTGTACTGTTTTTCCCTCCTTGTAAATCTCACATTTGATGATGGACCACAGGTTCTCAATGGGGTTCAGATCAGGTGAACAAGGAGGCCATGTCATTAGATTTTCTTCTTTTATACCCTTTCTTGCCAGCCACGCTGTGGAGTACTTGGACGCGTGTGATGGAGCATTGTCCTGCATGAAAATCATGTTTTTCTTGAAGGATGCAGACTTCTTCCTGTACCACTGCTTGAAGAAGGTGTCTTCCAGGAACTGGCAGTAGGACTGGGAGTTGAGCTTGACTCCATCCTCAACCCGAAAAGGCCCCACAAGCTCATCTTTGATGATACCAGCCCAAACCAGTACTCCACCTCCACCTTGCTGGCGTCTGAGTCGGACTGGAGCTCTCTGCCCTTTACCAATCCAGCCACGGGCCCATCCATCTGGCCCATCAAGACTCACTCTCATTTCATCAGTCCATAAAACCTTAGAAAAATCATTCTTGAGATATTTCTTGGCCCAGTCTTGACGTTTCAGCTTGTGTGTCTTGTTCAGTGGTGGTCGTCTTTCAGCCTTTCTTACCTTGGCCAT